GAAAAAAACAAGTTAGAGCGTTTCCTTTTGAGTAGTTCACTGTTTAGGCCCACAATTTCCCATGTACGTTTGACTAACATAATCTTACGGCCAGTGGCTCTCACCATGCTTTCTGTGCTAGCTGAAAGACCTTTTCAAATTCAGCATCTCCCATGAATTTCACAAATGGTTTTTTTTCACAAATTTACAACAAGAACATAGCTGAGTTTCTTTAAGCTTTCATTGAAACACGCTTTTCTCAATCTTCAATTACTTCCATAGTTCTTTTCTGCATCCTTTCAATTTTTCAACAGTGTTTCAAATATGTTTAGGGTAGAAATAGTTTTAGGCTTCCATTATTGATCTCTCCTGAGCCATAAATAAAAGCAGAGGAAAGCCAGGCTCCTATTCAGTACTTCCTTTATGCCATTTTCCCTTTCTTCCTATAGCATCAGTGGGACACTCCTGCTGAGTTGCTGGTTTGTTATGACCCCAAATTCTTTACAGATTCATTGCTTGAGGTGTTTTCTTCATTCAGGTTTCTTCATTGTTGTATTCTGTATTTCTTCCTCCAGCATATGCAAACCTATATTTGTCTTACTGGGAACACTACTCTAGAAATATTTATGTTTTTCAATTGGTTTTATTTTTCATTAGCTCCAAATCACTGATGGCAATATTAGGTAGTACATGACTGAACAGCCCTTCCTTCTGATGCTGAGCCTTTACTGATTACTTTCTTATGCATGTTCGTTAGCCAATGCTTAATCCAGTTAAAACACGCTTTATTGATATTGTGTAGTGCTATATTTTTAATTAGAATATTGAATGATACTAAGTCAAAAGGCACACAAAAGTTGAAGTGTATTATATGTACGTTGTTACCTTTGGCAACCTAACTTAAAATCTCATCAAAGAGCAGAAGTAGATTTGTTTGACAAGGCTTATTTTGCACAGAACTATGTTGACTAGCATTAATTATATTCCTATCTTTTAATAATTTATTAATTGAATCTTTTTTCAGTTTTCCTATTATTTTTCTCAGGACTGATGTTGGGTTAAGCAGCCTGGGAGTACAGATATCACCTGCCTGCCCTTAGTGGAACACCAAAAATGATGGAGCACTGCTGCTTATTGGAATATCAGTGACATTGTTCATGCCTCCTTCATGTTCCCTAAATATGCCCTCTTTCTTTCTTTTGACATGCTAGGTATTCTTTTACTAACACAGGAAAAATCCCATCAGCAAATGCTGAAGTAAAAGAGTTTATGTAAGTAAACTACTGAAGGCCTAGTTATGCTGTTGTGCAACATATTAGAAACGAAAGTAAAATTAGTGTGAATGTGGGAAAAGATGTTATGCAAATCTACTGTAGTTTACAACATGATGTTGTGTGCTCAAATTAGAAACAGCAATTGAAGAAGCCTGAATATGCATCTGTAATTCTGAAAGGCTGTTATGTTCTTGTTCCCAGAACTGGCTCGTCAGTAAGATATAAAATAGAAACAGATATAGTCAGTTACATGTGCATTGGGATCTTTTTCTGGATTTTAAAATCCATCTCAAAGGGTTCATTTCTGTTTCAGCTTTGTGGAACTGGTGGAACTGTGGTATTTGCATTTGTGTTGGATGCTTTGGGCTCTCTGAATACTTGATGTTTCTGGTTCTGAATAGACTTTAAATTCACTGTGACTAAGAAAGCCAGAGGACAGAAAAAAGCAGTGCCTAGGAGGGAGTGGATAGTCTATTTAGTTAGATTTTGTGCTGTTCTTCACTTCACTTCAAATAATGTGAAATAAGCAGCATTTAAAGTACATAGCTACAGCCGCTGCAAGAGAATTCCTGGGAGGAGAACCAGCACTTCATCTGCACAAATTCATCACCTTGTTACACCTTGCACATATGATACCAGGAGCACTTGCCAGGAAGGGCCAAGTCACTGGCTATACCAAAAGCTAGAGCAGATGTATCAGTAGATCAACACTAAGTCCTGGGCTGCGTTGAGGTTTGTCTGAATCAGGGTCTGGGTCATCAGGTGGTCACTAGCTGCCTATTTCTGCTAGGGATTCCCAGAAATCACGTATGCCAACAAGCAAGGACCTCCATCTCACAAAAAAAAAAAGGAAGTCAGAGAGGCATTTAATAGAAAAATGGTCTGTTGAGACCTAGAAGATATGCTTTACCAAATCATGCTGCTTAATTTGTGTCAGAGATGAGAAATCAGGTTCCACAGAGCTGCCAGATTCCTGGACGCTCTGCCCTGAAAGCCATTTCAGAGTCTTCTTTTAATGCTGTTCTGCTTTAAACACATGATTAAATATTCATTGACTCACAGAGGAAAAAATAAAAGAAGGTAACCCTATATTCAGACTGTTGTGGCAGTAAAGGGTGTATCAGCATCAAAATCTGAAATCTCACATAGTCTCTGACAAAATGTTCTCACAGATTACAGGAATTCCTCAAAAGATCATGAATTGGAAAAATCAGTCTCCCAACACTGATGGAGGATACTATCCTCAGATTATTTGGCAAGATAAAAATGCTTCTACTCTGAAAAATCTGCCTCCTCACCCCCCAGCCTGTTTTTTTGTGGAAGGACCTTATCTGGTGGATCTAAGACATGCACATGATCAAGGTCTCTAAGCAGTTAAGTGCATGTTGATCTTGGTTGTTCTACTTGTGTGATTACTTGTCTGTGGGAGTGATTTTTCAGGTCTTTTGCTCTTTGCATTTATTCCACTAGACCTCTAACCTGACTCCCATTTTTTCACCAGACTTGATAATTTTTATCCATAGTTTCAATATGGAGATTACCAATTCAAATTTCCCTGGCTATTTTTAGATTTCTTTTGCTTCTTCAGGTGCTCAGAACCTTGTTCAGACAAGTTTTGAAAATCTCCAAGGATGGAGATTCCACAGCTTCTCAGGGCAACATGTGCTGGTGCTTAACTACTCCTTGTACATCATTAAAAAGAAGCTAAAAATCAAATCAATGATTGCAAATTTGGCAATAGTTATTTAAAAGAGTTTATGTCACCTAGATTTTTCAGAGATTCTAACCTGAAGTTTACCATAATACCACTGATAAAAGATAATAGATAATAGAAGTTGGAAATAAACCACTCATACTTGGAATATGACATTGGATTATCTGCTTTCATAAACTGATGAAGATTTGAGTTTGAGGTGCTGGAGCATGTCCAGTGAAGGGCAACGAGGCTCATAAAAGGTCTAGAATACATGTTTTATGAGGAACAGCTGAGGAAATTGGGTTTGTTTAGTCTTGAGAAGTGGCAGTTCAGGGGTGACCTCATGGCTCTTTACAACTACCTGAAAGGGGATTATAGAAAGGTGGGAGATGTTCTCTTATGCTGTGTCTGCCATGAGAGGATGAGTGGGAATGGTCATAAGCTGGGAGAGGAGAGATTCAGAGTAGATATTAGAAAAAAAGGTTTCACTGTTAGAGAGATCAGGCACCAAAATAGTTTTCCCAGGGAGGTGTTGGAGTCACCATCCCTGGAAGTGTCTGGACCTGACATTGGAAGATATGGTTTAGGGGTTACACCGGAGTGCCAGGTTAACAGTTGGACTTGATGATGTTAAAGATCTCTTCCAACCTACATGATTTTGTGATTCTATTATATAAATAAATCTCAAATACATGTGTAATTTTTGCAACCTTATATGGTATGCACACCATCCTAACATAAACCAGAGGAAAATCTGAAGTGTATTTAAGATTTTATATGAATATTTTAATGGAATATTGTTTAACAGCTTTAAGGCTTACATCAAAATAATTAATATTATATTCATTACTGCATGGCTTAATCTTTTTTATATGACTAGAAAATTAGTTTAAAGAAACTTAATTAAAATTATTCTAGATATGCCATCATAACATGATTAAGGATAAAGTAGGTACTGCAATATTGTACAAAAATGCAGCTTATTCAAATGTAAACTGTTTTTATGGGCTATTTATCTCTGCTTATGTATGTTAAGGGAATTAAAAAAAACTTGTTTAAATGACTTTTTTTGAGAAAGAAAAGTCTTCAAAGGAATTCTTGCTATTCTTAAAAAAATATTAATCATGCTTACACAGAGGACACTTGAGAAAAATTTATTAGAAGAAATTTGTGACCAGTCATGCCATAGGAAGAAGAGAGAGCCACAGGGCTGATATAACAGTAAGGTTTGTGTATGCAGTGCTCCTCTGGTAGTTAAATTGCAGGAATGTGACATTGATCTGAAACGGGAGCTGTCTGAAGTAGTGACTGTCAATCTCTGTAATCAAAGGATGGTCCAAAGTCTTACTCAATTAGCCATTTAGCATGGCCACTCAGTTTATAAAGTCCTACCAACTCAAAAAGTGATCTGTCCTCAGGACACACTTCAAGAAGTCTGTGTGGTTTGCAGACATTGAACAGTCATCCAGGACTATAATTTAGGCTCTTTATTGCAAAAGGACAGCAATGCCTCATTTAACTGACTGTACTTATTACAAGGTGAGCCAAATGTGGATTTAGGTGTGAATCAATCTCTGCTGAGGTTACTATTATTTGAAGTTGGTTGCATTATGTTTTTCTTTGTACATTTATTTACTGTTTTGTGTACAGAACAGTAAATATACTGTGAGTATATTTTATATTTTTTAGAGTACATATATGCTTGTAGATTTGATGGTAATGATCTCAAAAGAGATCATTTTTAAATGAGGAAAAAAATATGTAACATATTTCTGGTCTTTTCTCAGGATCATGGTTATATTTTCTAGTTCAATTGTGCTTTGATAATTATTCAGAGGGTTTGTTCAGTTATGTAAGGGGGAAATAGTAGACAAATAAGAAATCTGTAAGAGTGTAAAACTGATAATAATAATTAAGGTTAATGATTCTATCCAAGTGTTATCAAATCTGAATCTATTGTTTTGAAGTATTGCTTATTGCTAAGAGAGCATATGGGCAAATACTGATACTAACAACTTGAAACTTCAGCAATCATTTCCATTCCTCCCCAGGTACAAACACACTTGGAAAATCAGTCTAGATACCACATACAGCAGAGCCAGAGGCACCAGGTGAAACAGTACCTGACCCTCGATACCAAGCTGTCCAGCCAGACGCTCTCCCTGTCCCACTCTCACACCATCCAGCCTGTGGGAGTGACCTCCATCCTGAGAAACGGACACATGCCTCCAGTCAGCGATATTGGCACCCCAGACAGCCCTGTTACCAAGCTGCTGGCCCTTGGAGGAGAACATGAAAATGCGGTAGGGCAGGGCTGGGGAAAGGAAGGGGAAATGGGCTTTGTCTACTTGTACAAAAACATTACATGACCCACCTTGTTCTAGTAGTGGACGAGAGATGACTGTCTTTACTTTCATGGGGCCCTTGGTTACAGCACTTGCTTCCTGAATGCTTTCAGATTATGTGGGTTATTTCCTTGAATGTCTGTGAATAGATTATTGCACAATCAAGCTTTTATAGTGCTGCCAGTTAAAATGTACTGTTGCATCTTTTTATGCATCATACATTGCTGTATGTTTTCTGAATATGTACTTTGGAAAGCAAAACTTTTTTTTTCAGATGAGAGTTATTTCTGTCTAAAAATATTAACCTAGATGCATAAAAATGCTAAATAATGATTACCTTCAAGATGTAACAGAAAGAATCATTTATTTTTCAGTTAACCCATATATAAATATATCAGCTATCTTGGGTAAGTTGGCATGGATGGGCTAACTTTAGCATCACTATCGATTTTAATAGAGTTACAGCTATTATACAATGTCAGATTCTCAGCCAGTGTGAGATGCAGATCATTATGGCCTTTAATACTTGAATAGATTTTGAAAAAGACTGCTTATTAGGTAAAAGGGGTATTGCTACAGAAATGAGAAATGGACATGCTGTATCATATCTTGGGCTTTAACAGAACAGAAGAATCTTACAAATACACTGTGACTCATTTTGAACACCTGGATGTTATGCAGCTAAGCATGAGCGAGCTGAAAAAAACCTCAAAGCCTCCTGGAGACCTCATCTTGGGCCCCTTCATTCCCTCTGCATTGACAACTGACATTTTAAATCAGGTTTATGGATTACTGGAGCAACTAGTCTGCAAAGGTTATCTTAAATGGCCTTTGTGGAGGCGTCTGTGGTTGTCACCTCTGTGCTGGCAAGTGCAGTGTGCTGGAACTGCTCTCAGGCATTTTAGGTAGTTGACCAGGAATAACTGGAGCCCATCCTTGTACCACTCTGTGTTCTGGGAAGTGAGACAGTTGCTTGTAAACCACTCTCCAGACCTGTGCCTGGTGAAGACTGGGAAAGTGATGGTTGGCACTGGCTGAAATACTCATGGGTGTCTTTTCAATGATTTGAATAATCCCATCCCAAAGCCTCAGGTAGATGACTGGCACAGAGTAATATTTTAATGTGGATGTGCCCTGTGGCTGAGAATGGGCTACAGTTATATTAGTAAATAATGTATAGCCAAAACACATTAGTGCAGTGAATTCATATTGTCTAATTGCTGGAATTTCTTGGCATCGTTTTGGCCATGACAGTGCTTTTCTAGAGGAGTCTGGGCACAACTCCTGGCACAGCACTTGCCTGTTTTGTAGAGAGGGAGAAAAGTGCATATATGGGCTGTGCTGGCTCATATGACCTAAAGGTATGTGTTGAAAGGTCCCATGTCTGTGTAATAGTTTCTTTGATTGCATAGAACCCTCTACACTTCCTTTCCTTCAGCTTGCAAGAGCTGCAGAGAGTAGAGTTAACAGTGATATGTTCATCATGGGATCTTTCCCAAAGTTGTTTTGTGCACAGAACCAGACCATAATTATCATTGAAAATTCATGTTGTACTTTGTCCAAATCTATACATGTCTAAAGGTCTGCAAAATATTCACTTTTCATCCCAAGCAATTAATGATCTATTCCAACTGCTTCAGTAGATTTTGGCTCAGATTAGAGCAAAAGTGGGACAAGAAGGCTATCTGGAGAAGTATCCACTGTACTGCTAAACACAACATAAACCTCTGCCTGCCAAATCTTGAAATGTTGAACATGTAACACCAAACCTTGAGTGACTCACACCCCTGCAGAACCACAGGTTCCTTTCAGCCTTCCTGTACCAGTGCAGCGATACACAGTGGATATGACACATTTGATCAAGATGATGGGTTACAGTTACTACTTAGCAATGCAGTTGTGTCATCTGATTGTGGTGTTGCAATAAGAGGTTAAAGTAGGGGAATGGGTTGGTGCTTAAGGGGAAAAGATGTAACTTGCTAAACCACAACAAGTGTTTTCACAAGAAGTAAAACATGTGAATATTGTGTAAGATTTCTTCAAATTCTTTGAATTTTAAGATATAAAATTAAATTCAGTTTTACTCATATAATAAATATACAAGATAATTCATCTGTATTTTCAAAAAAACCTTTTTTCCATTGTTATTTGTAATGATTTGTCTTAAAATATTTTATCAGATGGAAGAGGTGATTGAAGACATAATAAATATGGAATCAAATTTTAATGATGAAGGGATAGGTTGTTCCGAAACTCCTCTACTAATGCAAAGAACTGTAAGTATTTTGTTGAAATTTGTCTTGCTGTTTATAATGAGAATTTCTTTGAGTGATTCAAGCACATGGCACTTCAGAGGCTAAAGCGTAGTATCAGTGGACTATTCTCTTTTCAGTTGCTTGGTGTTTTTTCATGAAATATTACAGAAAAAGGCTCCAATGTGGTGGGATACAGTTGTTTTAAGTGGTCTGAATAGCATTTGGGGTTCTACCCCAGCAAAAGGTCTGGTGCATAAATCATGGGTTACTAATTCCTATGCAGTGCTATGGATAAGAGAAGTCTCTGGAGTCTAGAAAGCTTTTTAAAGTCTTACTTAAAGATCCTTCTACATGAACTTAAAAAACCAGTCAAAGCTTCCCTGTGTAATAGTTTCTAGGGTACAGTAGTTTCTCCAGTGTCTTATGCTGAAACAAGAGTGGGATGTATTTCTTGACTCTCATAAAGACAAGTTGCATATAGTTGAATAATTTCGAGGACAAAGAAGATAAATGTAACTTTTCAAATTAAATGCTTTATGGGAATTAATGTGACAAACTTTAATTTTTTAATGCCTTTTTGTAAATAAATGGCAGAGAGCTAACAAAAGCTACTTACATTTTCATACATGTTAACATATTTGAAGAGGAAAGATGGATATTTTCTGGACAGTACCACACATAGTGCATTATTATTTATGAAAATAATACCTATCAATAACTCTAATGAACTTTATAGAAGGATGTACTTTGTCCTCTCAGTCTTAACTTATATTGATAACTGTTTGTCCTTAGGGTTTTAAAATGTACACAGATAATAGGAAACTTCCCTCTGGTCAAGGCAGAAGGATTTTCATAGGCTTTGACAATCAACTAAGTTCATTTCAGAATAGTCAGATGCTTGTTCTTAATCAACCACTAAAGGAACATCTTTTTATGACTACAGGACATCCCTGGCTACAAAAATGCCTTAGGAGATAAGATCTCTACACCTCTATGTTTCTCATGATACAGTCCAATATTAATGCCAATTAAAGGTTCCATGAGCATCTGATAAATGCATGCCAGCTAGAGAACTAATACAGTTGAACTGATGTATACATATCTCAGTACAGAACATAGCAAAAAAATGCTCCTGAGGAGTGAATTAATATTTTGGCTCAAATTAACTTGAAGCAAGGGATGATCCTTTCAGGTGTGGTCCCATGGGACAGTGATGAGAAGCATGAATTCTGGGTTTTGGATTGAACTCATACTCCCTCAATACCATTTAAAACTGGATGATGTCAATCTATGCTAATTCCAGTCTCGTTAGCCTTTATCTTCAGCCATGAAGGACAAATCTCTCTCAAATATATTGAACACCCTACTCTTGACGAGCAGGGAAATATGCAATGACTTTTAGACCTTGCTGGCTTCATAATTGCAAATATTTGAGACTCCTGCAGTGTCTCTGGGCTGAGTAATGGTATCTGGATTTTCGCTTGTGCTGAGGAAATCAGCAGGCATAGTAAGCATGCATTTCCAAATTTCTTTGTTCGATACTATGGCAAAAGAAAGCCTGCCTTCCACAAGGCATACAAACTGCATTGGTGTGGAAGCACTTGAGCAGTGTCTCTGTCTCTTCTGTCTTCTCTTTTGGCATTGTGTACTCCAAAAATATAAAAAAGAAATAGGTGCAGGGAGATGATGTCAGGCAGTTAGCTCATGACACATGGATTTATGGCAACTTTCAGGCAACATCTTAAATCTGCCTGCAAAATTTTCATAATAAACTGTGCAACAGAGAAAGGTGGGAGGTGGAGAATAAGCTTTTTACATCCAGTTTTTCACTACCACATTAAACGTAATGAAATTTTCTTTATCTGAGATATAAATTTATATATTACAAGAGTGTTGGACTAGGAGACATGATCAGGAATGAGAGAACATCTAATTTGTCTAAGAAGAACTTAAGCAAAGACTCATATTAGCTCTTATGTACCTCTGCACAAGGTGCCTGACTATTGTGGCAGCCATGAACACAGAGTGAGGTGAGACGGAGTGGCCCATGTATCTGGCTTATTTGGTGTTTGCTTTCTCTTTACACTTCTCCCGTGTAAAGCTTAAGTTTCATCTTAGTTTTCCTTACTTGTGCTTGTCTTGAATTTGTCCAAACTGTGCACAGCAGTCTCTAAAATTCTGAAATAGTCTATCTTGGTTTTCAGAATGTGGTATAGGACTCAGGTGTTTCTTAATCAAAATCTTTTCTTGAAAAAGCCAAATTCATGAAGCCATTTTCTTCTCTCATTGTTCTCAATAGATAGTGGTTGAGTAATCTTTATACTTTGCAGTGCTACCTGATGTGTGTTGCAGTGAATTAGTGTTTGCTTTAGTTAGATGCACCCATGTACCATTTTAATGGCACATTAAATGAGGACATTGAATTCTGTGAGACCACTCATGTGAATAATTGCTCAGAGGCTCATTGTCTGACCCTGAATTAATGAATTACAGTTACGTATTAGTAGAATCAGAGAAGTGAAAACAAGAACATTCCTCCATCTCTCATTAAAATAATTACAGCTTTTGAAGAGTGGATTATCTAGTTTTTATTGTGTTTGGGCCCAAAGTTGTAATTTCGTAACAGTATCTGGCTTTGGGTTGCAACTTAAGAATTGTTGAAACTAGGGAATTCTCTGGCTGTGTTTCTATTGCTCTTCACAGTACCCTAAGGGCAGAAACCTACTTTTTATAACAATTTTTTAGATGTTCAGTTAAAATATAAGACTAGGTCCTCCCGATATGCAAGAGGTCTTGCTTCTTCTGAAAGTATTTGTAAAGCCTGTATCTTTGTTCAGAAAACATAGCTAAAATCAAATATATCTATTCTTACAACTGTCATTTGATGACAACCATTTGTTCACCATAGAGAAGGTAATATTTAATTAAAAAAAAACCATTGAAGATTACACCAATTTAAAGTGATTTTCCCTCATTGTAATAATTTAGTTTTATGAAACTTTTTATTAACAGAGCAGCATATTTATCTATATTATAAGAAATTAATTTCTTCTCTAAGTATCACATTAGGAGCAACAGGATTGTTTCAGACCTTTTAGGACTCATTACAAAAATGAAACAAAGAATATATGAGTGAGTTTTAGAAGTGAACTGATGTCATGTATGTCAGATATGGTGACAGACATTTGAAAAGTAAACACTTTTCCATCAGAATTTCATTCTTATTAAAAATCTTTACAAGCCTATTCAACATTTCATAGTGAATTTAAAATTTCTTAGCTTACAAATATTGAGAACATAGGAAATGTAGAAGTTTAGGTCTATTAATGTAAAGCATATATTACACCATAATTAAAAGTTTAGGGCAGGTTATAAAAAGCTATTGCTTTTAACATCTGAAAAACAGAAATTTCAGAAACATGTTGTATTAAGACAAATGTGGCGAACATTAGTCACAGTGAAGAGAGACAAGAAAGAGCAGAGTTAAAAGATTGGATGTCTGTCCTTTTGAGGGTGTGATGTAACAGCCTGTGACCTAGTGAACCACTACTTGGTACTAAATGTTGTTTTGTTTTGATAGTATACATATACAAACCTAGGACTCACCAGAAAACCCAGTAATTTAGCAAGCACAGCAGAGATCTATATGGAAACAGCTAGCATTTTACCAGTACTTCCATTCAGAAATAACTGCTGCAGCCCAAATAATTGCTGTACAACTAGGATAATGTCCTCTACTTGACATGCAGTCCACTAAAGCTTATGTCAAAAGCATTAGGAGATTGACTGGCTTGGAATGAGAACGAAGTGAGAGGATATTGATGTTCTGCGAGGGCACAGGCTTCCCTTGCATGCTGCTGGGTGGGACCAACCAGAAAAATAATTTAATTTTGTGAACATTTTCAATGATTCTAAGTTGTCTTTTTTTCTGATGCACAAGAAAACAGAAGTTTTCAGCAGTATTCTTGAGGAAGCCTGGGGACAGAGGCTCTGTAGCAGTTGGATGGCTGGTGGTGACAGCTAAGACATAGTTGCAGAGCAGTGCTTTGGGCAGAGCACTACCATGAAACTGGACTTCAAAAACTTGCCAGCAGAGGCACAACTGCTGATATGTTGAATCAGTTGGGAACAATGTTGCTGGAGTATTCAATATTGAATGACTAAATGAAAAGGAGCAGTTCCTTTCACATTGCTTGGCAGAAATAGAAAACTTCTCCATGGAAAACTCTTTTATTGTACTATATAGAGCCAAGAAAAAATGTTTCTATGCTGATTTATTTGCAATATTTAAGAAATGTTTTCTTTAATTATCTCTTTGAATGAAGTTCCCAG